AAATAAAGTTAAGGATGGGTAGGGAGCGATAAGGGCACTGTGGTGGTCTAAATGAGATTTGAACACTTAGTCCCAGTAGGTGCTGTTTGAGGTTTAGGAGGTGCGGTCTTGGTGGAGGAATTATGTCATAGGAAGCAGGCTTTGAAACTTTGAAGACCCTTGTGTTTCTCTTTCTGCTATGTGCTTATGGTTAAAGACGTGAATCCCAGCTTGTTGTTCCTGACACCATGCCTGCTTCCTGCTCCCGTGTTATCCTTGGCATCACCACCATGAACTGTCTGGCTCCATTTTGTCTTGGCTTAAACAGTTCTCATCACCCCCAGCCTACACCACCATGGTCATGTTTGTCTTGGCAACACATTTGCGTTTTCCTTGACCTTAACCCTGATCCAGCTGTAATAACCAAATAATTAATCTAAAACAAAGAGAAAATCTGTAAGTAAAAAATAATTGTCATGTCATGCTGTATCCAGAATAATTACTATACTCTGCCAGGAGTGAACATTTCAAGGTTAGTTTGACTCTCATCTAACTTTGATGTAAATTATGGTCTTTGTGGGTTTTACCTTTAAAACATTTGTACCCCTGAGCTTGGGCACCAAGAAACTTTTCAAAAGCATAAGCCTAATCTTCATCTGGCTATCAATAAAAAGGACTTAAAACTTTTAATTAGCTCAATTGATGTGTGAGGTCCTTCTATATATGTGTTGCTTTTGTTGGTTAACTAAGAAACTGCTTTGGGGCTGTTGGTAGGGCAGAACTTAGGTAAGCAGGGAAAATTAAATGGAATGCTGGGAGGAAAAAGGCAGAGTCAGAGAGAAGCCAGGATCCTTCACCTGAGACAGACTCCAGTTAGAATCTTGCCGGTAAACCACAGCCACTTGGCGATAAACAGATTAATGGAGATGTAAGGGTTAGCCAATAGGAAGTTAGAGCTAATGGGCCAACCAGTGATTAATTAATTTCTGTGTGGTTATTTTGGAGCTAAGATAGCTGGGTGGCCAGGACAGACAAGCAGGCTCTCCTCCTTCCAACACTCAATCAATGTGATTGTCAAAAACTATCTTGTGTTAATCATTTCAGTCTCCCTCTCCTGCTATATGCCCTTATAAACCTATAAAAGGAAGACTTCCATATGTTTCCAGGTCACAGTGTTTTATCGCAGCTGTAGAAAAAAAGCTAAGGCAACATATTTTACCCAAACTTAAAATGATTAGTATTGCTGGGATTAGAAAGACAGTTCAGTAATTCAATACTTGCTGTTCTTGTAGAGGACCTGGGCTCAGTTCCTAGTACCTGCATTCAGTTCTTGGAACCTGGGATCAGTTCTTAGCACCCACATGGCAACCTACTTCAGTTCCAGGGACTCTGACACCCTCTTCTGGCCTCTGCTGCCATCTAGCATACCTATAATGAAGATATATATATATATCTATATATATATATATATATATATATACACAGGCAAAGCACTCACATGCACACAGATAAATATTTGAAGTTATTTGGGATTATTATTCCTATGTCATACACTCAAAAGTGAAGTCATTGCTACTGACAGAGAGCTGATGAAGAATACTGTATCACTACTATTTTTCCCTCTTTATCTGAAGGTGGAGTCCTCTCTCTAATTGCTAAAGATTAACATCTAAGTCCCCAGGAAAAGAAGGTACGAAAGAACCCCAAGTTGTTCAAAGTAGATCAAAATAAAGAAAAAGTATTAACTAATTTTGTGCCATCCTTTAAATGCATCTTACAACTACTACCTCATTTATTCATAACAATGATCTTTATGGTGTAGATTCTTTGGTTTTCTTTATTTTGGCTGAAGAAAAATTGAGCATAATAGGATCAAAAGAAAAGAAAAGCACTTTAAACACTTCGATGACGGGAAGTAGCTATGGCGAAGGTAACTTTCGGAGGACCCAACACAGAGTTGACTCCTGGCTTCATGGTGAAGTCACAGTGGCTGCTGTGTAAAAGAATCAGTCTCTTACTGTGAAGGAGAAAAGACATCAACAGACAGGAAGAGTAGAATCAGATGATCTTGGCACTTGGTTGGATCCTCCTACATGGAACTCATGGCTATGAAGGGATGAATGACGTAAGTCTTAATAACAGACAGGAAGTTTTTATATATTAAATCCAATAAAAAATAAACACTTCAAATGTTAAGCTCAAATTTAGTTTTGAATCATGTGTATCTGAATACTTGAGACAACACAATTGGCTGGATTCATTTTGCCAGTTACATAAAGGCATTTCTCATTTTCCAGAGGTCGGTACAGTAGCCCACCTTCTGAATCTGCCTGAGCCTCACCCAGTTTTAATACGGAAAGCCCCATGTTTACTGGCAAGCAAGCTTACAGATCATAAGTCTATTAGCATAAAAAGTATGTAAGTAAAGGTACCTCTCTTTAAAGTTCATGTGGATCAACCCCCATCCTCTGGATTTTGCTTTTTCAGTTAGTTCTTAAGCTCTGAGTTGATTTGTCTTCGGGGAATCTAGAGAAGACCTTGTACATCAAATCTCCAAACTGTTGGTTTGAAAAGTTGCTAATTCTATGGAGAGGTCAGATGCCTACCTATCTTGTACAAGTTCTCTGCAATATAGCCAAGCTGACCAGGCATGTCTAAGCAGATCAGCAAGTGCTCTGCTCTTGGCTCCTAGTATGTTGGTGTAGAGGACAGAGACAAGCAGACTCTCAAACAGCTCCCTTCACCCCTGTGGGATGCCGGAGCCCAGACTTGAACTCTGCTACTAGCCTTCTTGGGAATTTCCTCATGTCCTTGACATCTTAACCAAATGTAATTTTAAGCTCTCAGTCTGTCGACTCTGGATACTTCTTAGCTATGTCATAGGGTTGTGTTGGGAATTGATTAATATTTATGAACACTTTTAAGTGGAAAAGTGCAGTATAAATATTACTACATGCTTTGAAAAATTGTTTCCTACATAGTATTATGCACAAAGAAAATAAGCCACGGACTGTAGTATTCTTGGAACAATTTTTAAGTGGTGATCAGTTATCTGTGTTCCCCCTTTCATCTTTTATACATTTAGTGCTTTGTGATTTAATGTTTTCAACAATGATTTCTGCTAAATTTATTTTTTTATTGTTGTCATGCATTGATGCATTTTGTTTCCTGTTAAGTTCAATACAGCTTTCTATTTCCAGTTACAATTTGTAAATCATTGACTGTGATTTTCCCGATTTGAAATGTGTCCAGCATACTTGGGATATTCGTATACTTAAGAATGGGTCTGGAACCACTTTGCTGAAGAGAACAGACATTCCTCTTGTTAGCTTTATTGCATAAAAAATTTCTGTGATATAAATTCTTGCTGTGTTCTTAAATTTTAAGCAGAAAATTTGAAGTAGATTTGATTGAAAAAATGGAATTTTGAGGATTTTTGAGAATAAAATTACCCTGAAGTATTTGGTTAAGTTTGCAATTCATGTAAGAGAGAAATAATACATTTCTCATAAATCATGTACCATGTTAGTGGCAAGCTTCAACAACAATAATGCCAAACGCTAAACTCACACAGATCAAGACCATTTTTGTTTTGTTTTGAAACCGGTTCTCACGAAGACCATATTAGCCTAAATTTATCACGTCTTCAAGGATGACCTTGAATTACTGATTCATCTGTCTTCACCTATTCTGAGTTGTGATTACAGATATTCATTGTAATGCCTGGTTAGAAATATGACTTAGAAAATTCGTGCTGTTATAGTGGTGAAATAATTGTCATTTTTAGTATTTTAATATTTAGTAACTTTTATACTGTCTCAGTTAGGGTTTCTATTGCTACGTAGAAACACCATGACCGTGGCAACTCTTATAAAAGAAAATATAAAGGGTGGCTAACAGTTCAGAAGTTCAGTGTATTATTTTCGTGGTGGGGCACTGCAGTGTACAGGTAGATATAGTACTGGAGAAGTAGCTGAGAGTCCTACATCTTGCATGCCACAGGAAGTGATCTGAGGGTCACACTGAGCAAAGAGACCTCAAAGCTCACCCCCACAGTGACACACTTCCTCCAACAAGGCCATAATTACTAAGAGTGCCAATCTTTTGGGGGACCATTTTCTTTCAAACCATCACATCTACCATGTCTATTGCATATATTTTTTCATAACTAAACTGTTTCCACACTTTGGTTACATTAGTAGAGAACGTTCCATGGTCTTATATGCTGTGTTTCCCCACAAAATATGCCACACAAGGCTGATTGCTGTTTTATTTTTTATTTTTTAAGGGTCTGGCAAGCGTTTATTTATTGATTGGTGGGAATACAGCCCATCAGAACACATGGCATGCATCTGGGGGAGAAACGAATCAACTGCACTGGGGCCATGCAGTAAACCAACTAGGATCCTGTCGGGCAGCGCAGATGGTACCCGAGACTGGGTGGGTGACTTAGCTGCCTAATGGTGGCTAAGGTTCCAGGTGCAAATCCTTTGGGATCATATTTACTTTTCATTACTCGGAATTACAACAGAACAGGGAAGCCGAGCCTCACCCTGCTCTCAGATTGAAGGCTGAGGAGTTACTTGGAATCATTTAAATAACCCATCATCCAAATCATGTCCATTGTAAATTTTAACTCAATCCCCCTTCATAAATTTTTCCAACCAATTCATGCCCCTCAGAATCAGAAGCACTGTGTGAATTTAGAAAAGATTAATAGCGAATGTAAAAGACTACAGTATTCGATTCCAATAGCTACACTGTTGCACTATAATTAGTATTAGATTTTTATATCATATGGCCAATTTCTCTTTTAGATGTTGCTATAACATGTATATAATACATTAAATAATTCTTGTTACATTTAAAAGGACAAAAATATAAAGCTGATGGAATATCAGACTATATTTAAAACTATACAATCATATATGGTTTATTTAATACAGTGATTGTAACCTGCAGTACAATAAAATGTTTTCCCAACTAAAGAGTGATATGCCACGTAATTTTTGGAAATTTTGTAATGAGTATTTTTATTAAAGGGACATCAATGTCACCTTGTATTCAAGTCACATCTACTTCTTTTTATGGTAATGGGAAGAAAACACATAGAGACAGAAAAAGCTACTAGACCAACTGGAAATCAAAGGGTGGCTTCGGAGTTTTGTTCTTTTGCAGAAACAGTCTTATCTTTTCATGAACGTTTTCCCTTCCTTCATGCTTCAGGGCCCTCGGTTATGGCCTGCAGCGTTGGACGAATCGAGGGTATAAGCACACATCTCGGATGTGATATCTGTTCAGAATCCAACTTAGGACTCTTTCCAGGCCCAAGCCATAGCCTCCATGAGGACATGAACCATATTTTCTCTGATCTGTATACCAGTAATAAGGAGCGGGGTCAATTCCTTCCCTTTTATAGCCTTCCAGAATTTCTTCATGATCCCAAGAGCGCATCGAGCCGCCCACAATCTCACCAACATTGGGCATCAACACATCAACAGATTCAGTGAGCCGAGGATCCTCAGGACATCGCTGCATGTAGAAGGACTTGATCTCCACTGGAAATCGACACAGCAGGATCGGTTCATTAATGGTGTCTGTCATCAGTCTCTTAGGAGCTTCAGGAATATTGTCTCCAAACTCATAGAGCTTCCCGTCTTCTTTCTTTGCATCGTGTTCCCTCAGCCACTCAATAGCATCTGAATAGTTCATTCGTCTGAAAGGCCGTTTGGGAGGTTTAAAGTTCGGGTTGAGGTCATACACTATGCTCGCCACTGGTGACTTCAAGACTCTGTCAACCACATTGCACACTAGGTCCTCCAAAAGGTTCAGGAGGTCCTCAAAGCTCAGGAAGGGGCACTCGGCTTCCACATGCGTGAATTCAGCCAGATGCCTTCTTGTTCTGGACTGTTCGGCCCTAACGACTGGGTCAAAAACGCTTCCTCCCCAAAATAGTCAAGCTTGAAGAGCATGGCCCCGCCTTCTACCTGCATCTGCACCAGCGTCGGGGTGGTGACTTCACAGTAGCCCCTGTCGAAGAAGTGGTCCCTAAAGCACCTGGTGATCATGCACCGCGTATTCAAGATTTTGAACATGTTCTCTCCGCGGATCATCATGTGCCGGTTGTTGAGCTGGACATCCACATTGGACTCCTCGTTGATCAGGTTATCAGCCCCTCCAGCTGGGGCCAGCCCCACCAGTTCCCAGAAGTCACAGCTCAGCTCGTGGCCTCCTGGAGACTGCTTGCCCTTTGGAGTCAGGCTTAGTGTTCCGTATACTGCCACGCTGCTCTCAGTGGACAAGACTACTCCATTGTAACACTGGCACAAGTCATCTGACAAGACACACTGCAGATAGCCCGTACCATCTCGCAACACCAGAAATACCAAATTCTTTCCTTGCCTACGCAACCTGTGGACCCAGCCGAACACCTTCACTCTTTGACCTCTATATTTTTCTAATGCACAAATCTTTACACAGGCCGGCTCTGGCAGGCTTGGGTCATTTTTAATGATAATTTTCTTTGCTTCCTCCAGGTTCTTTTCTCTTCGTAAGTTATCTTCTGCCTCTTTCTTCTCCCGAGAGTCATTCTTCATCTGTTCCCTATGCCACATCTTTTTAATGTTCTTCATCTGTGACTTAGAAATGACATCCCACCTCTCATTTTCCTTTTGTGAATCCACATAAATGGTGGGAAACGGCTCTTTTCCAACTGTCATCAAAGTCTTTAGGCTGGTTTTAAATGGCTTCTCCTTGGTTCCATCTCCTGTTGAGTCGTTTCCTTCTCGGTCAGAGACATACAGCTCTGCGCGTGCCATCCCTGCAGTCGCCCCGATCACCTCCGAGGACATCGACTCCGCACCACCGCAGCCTGGTCACCTCAACGTGCACACAAGGCTTCCTTTGATAGCTGTTTTAGATCTAGTGCCCTACAGTGTTCTACTTTAGTAGAATCAGTCCTGATGCTGGACCTGATCCTCAGTCATGCATGTTTGGAATCTTTGCGAAAATTAGATTTCTCAGAAATTAGCATATTTATAAACTATAGTCTCGATAATAAAGTTCATAAGCTGATGATTAAACATAATTTTAAGGTATTAATTGCTAATAATGAGCATGTACTGGGCAGAACTAGTAGATGTATTCAGAAGTCTAACACAGAGAACAAAAGTTGCTTAATGAGAAGAGAATCTGACAGGGAAAATAGATATTACCCAGTGCTGATAATCTCACCCTAATAATGTTTGAATATGACCCTTATCATTCTTACCAAAATGCCACAGAAGTTCTGGTAATTAAGATCAGAAGGCATTAGAGACACGAAATAGTTGGCTATTTTGACGCAACTCTTCCTTTTTTCAATATTTGTTAATTGTTCACACAAAATCCTGTTTTATTTCCTAATGAACTTCCTTATAACAAATAAATTCCACTTTAGGCCCAGCTTCATAGGGATATTTCATTTATTTTTCAGGGATTCCCTATGCTTTTTGCAAAGACTTAGGAAACACCTGTCTTACTGGAATCATCTGCTTATTTAAAAATCCTAAAATATTTTTTTTCTCCTGCATGCCATAGATATCTAACCTCATCTATATCAACAAGAGTGTTAGGTTCAACTATTTCAAAAATAACTTATAAATATATGAGGCTGAAAACATCAGGTTATTTCTTGATGAAGTCTGATTTATTAGTGGGGCTTCTCAGGGTCTGCTTAAACATGGTTGCAGGCGAAAGCATCACTCATTGTTGACATCATGGAAAGGAAACGCATTCAAGAGCACATTTCCTTCCTCTGGAAGGCTTTTACCTGGAACCGATAGACATCTCTTGTAATTACATTATGTTGGCCCAAACAAATCACATCGCTATACTCCTTTCACAAACAGAAAAGGATAATTCTACCCTGAAAGGGGAAAACTGGAAATATGCTAGACAATGATAATACATATTGTACCTAGTAAGTTAGACACATCTCTTTATTTTAAAATATATTTTCACTTACACCATAAGCACACATCTGAATGAGGTATAATATGACAACCCAACATACCCATGTGATCATACCAGAGTCAATACCTGAACCTCACTAGCCATCAGCACCTTTGTGTGGCAAGAACCTCTTAATGCCTCTCTCCAGCTCTCTCAGACAATGTCCGAGGGTAGATCAATGTCCATTGCAATCAACCCTCTATACTGTGCATTCCTCCTTCATCATAGCTACAGGTGGTATCCATTTTCAACTGTTCTTTCCCACTACTCTAATTCTATCTTGTGATCACTCTTCCACTCGTAAACATCTACTTTTTAAGCTTCCGTGTATGAACAAAAAGATGTGGTATTTTGTTGTCTGAGGTTTCTGTCCTCCCTGATTTCTGTCCTCACACCAGGTCCCACAGCCGTTTAAGCGCCAAAGAAATCACGTAGAGGTCTATATTAATGATAAACTGATTGGCCCATTCGCTCAGGCTTCTTATTAACTCTTGTAACTTATAGTAGCCCATTATTCTTATCTATGTTAGCTACATGGCTTGGTATCTTTTTCAGTGGGGCAATTACATCTTCCTTCTTCTGTGATTGGGACAGGACTGGGGAGGAATGGGCTTCCTCCTTCCCAGAATTCTCCTGTTCTCATTGACCTGACTCTACTTCCTGTCTGGTTGTCTCACCTATACTTCCTGCCTTACTACTGACCAATCAGCATTTATTTAAAATATAATTGACAGAATACAGAATTGTCCCACACCAGCATTTGCCTTTCAGTGAACTGCTTATTTTTTATTTTATTTAGCATAAAGTTTTCTGATCACACTGATGTTCATCTCATTATTTTTTTGTGTCTGAAGAATAGTCCACTTTTGTATACATGTGATTTCTCGATCCTTCAACACTGTGATGGTTCCAAATTACGGCTCGTGTGAATAGTGCTGGGATAAGCTTGGAATGTGTGAATCTCTTTGATTGCCTCATTGTATACTAAGCAAGGAGAGTAGACAGCTAGCTCTAAATTTAGTCTTCTGAGGAACTGCATAGTACTGTCTACACTAGCTCTTCCAAAGTACATTTCCCCACATCCCTTTTGACACACTGTATATCCCAGCTCATCATTTTTTATTACAATGTATACACTACCACATTATTTTGGCACATCTGCATCTGCTATGGTTTTTTTTTTTTTTTTTGGCTTCTTGACTCAGCCATTTAACTGCAATGAGATAATGTTGGGATTTTGATTCACATTTTCCTGATGCTTACTGATGTTAAACATTTTTTTCATACTTCTTAACCTTGTGTCTATCTCTTTTGAGAACCATCTATTCATATTATTCCCCTAGTTTTTTTTTTCTAGAAATGGCTTTTAAGAAAATTCAATATGGTCATTTTAAAATTGGATTATTCAGTGTTTACTGTTGATATATTCATCTTGTTGTTGCTGGTCTGTTCTCGAGTTAATCCCTTTCAGGTGAACAGCTTGCAATATTTTCTCCCTTTCTGTAGGCTTTCTTTCCACTCTGTTGGTCATTTTCTTGGCTTTTCAGATGCTTCTTCGTATCCAACTCCATATGTCTAGTTCTACTTTTGTTGTTTGTGATTTAGAGATCTTGTCCAAAGATGTCATTGCTTGTTGTGATGACATGAAAACTCTTCTCTCTGCCCTCTCTGTTTTTATTTCTCATGACTTTGTAGTTTCTAATGGTTTTATTCTAGCAGTTTTAGGTCTTTGATCCACAGTACTTGATTTTTATAGTGAGGGGCAGGAGTCTCATGCATACAGCTTTCTAGCTTTCCCAGGATGATTTATTGAAATGGCTGTTTGTATGTGTTTGTTTCACTTATTCTTATGCTTTTCAGTTATCAAAGGTGAGCTGGCTGCTAATGGATGCATTTCTTCCTTGCTTCTCTATTCTTCTTCGTTGTTTTATGCCAATGGCATGCTGCTAGGCTTTTTAAAAATGTGTTTTGTGGTTAGATAGGATGTTCCTAGTTTTGCTTTTACTGATCAAGATTGTTTTGACTACTTGGGGTATTTTATTTTTACATGTAAGTTTTTGGATTGTTCTTTTATTTCTGAGGAGAATTCCATTGCCAATTTATAATAACCAAATGACAATTTGTCAAATTGGCAAAATGATTATAAATTACTTAGGTAATGTGAAAACTTAAATAATATTGATTATTTCGATCTATGAATCTTGTACTACTACTTCCCGTTATTTTTTCCAACTTTTCCATCAGTGGTTTATAATTCTTATTGTTTAGATTCATTACTATTTTGATAAAATTTGTTCGTAGACACAGACTTATTTATTTTGTAGCTTTTTTGAATTAGATTGCTTTCTTGATTTCCTTTTCAGCAAGCTCACCATTGGTACAAAATGGTATAAAATGCTACTAACGTATTTTGATTTTGTATCTTGCAATATTACTGAAGACTGGATTTATTAATAATTTCTGGCAGATTTCTGCAGAGCAATTGGGGCTTCCAATGTACGAAAATAGCAGTATTGTAATTTTAATTTTTTTCCATTTAGATGCTATTTATTTATTTATTATTTATCTTGTCCTAGTGCTTTGGCCATGACTTCTAATACCATGTTATGTAAGAGTGGTGAATGTGGTCACCATTTTCTTGTTTCTGTTCCTTTGAGGAACTACTTCAGCTCTTCCCTATTGCTATTCACTCTAACTATGGAGTCTGTCCTTTACTATTTGTTCCTTGTACACCTAACTCATTGATGTTAGTTACAAAGAATATTAAATTTTATTGAATGATTTTTGTATCTCTTGAGATAAAGAAGTGAATTTTGTCCTTCATTTTGTTAATATGGTATAGTTATTGATTGGTGTATGTTACATCCCTGAGGTAAATCCCACTAGGCCATTTTGTATACTCTCTTTGAGGTGTATAATGTTGGGCTTTGTTTGTCAGTATTCTAGCTAAGATTTTTTGCACTAATGTATGTCAGAGATTGGCCTTAGTCTCTTTTTATTGGTGACTATAAACTGACCCCAAGGTCCTGTTTGTATCAGATAAGTGCTCTACCACTAAGCTATACACCCAGACTTCTAGTTTCCTTGTTTTGTTATGTTCTTGGTTGGTTTTGGTATTAGATTAATGTTATCTCATAATGAATTTAGAAATGCTAATTTCCTTTACATTTTTTTTTATATATTCTGAGATAGTTTGTTCTTTAGGGTTTTGTTTCTTTTTCTTTTGCTGAATATTGAACCTATGGCCTCTTGTGCAGCAGACAAGTGCTGTGTTGTTGGAGAGTATTTCTAACCTGCTGCAGGTTCTTCAAGTGTGTCCTAGATTTCAATAGCGAAGCCACCTGGATCTAGGACCACCTAGTTGAAAAACATTTTCTTAGCAATATAATTCTATTCCTCATTATTGCTCTTTTCAGGTTTTCTATGATTTCATAGATTGGTTTTGGTAGATTGCATTTATTCACAAATGCATTTCTTCTAAATTTTCCTTTTTATTTGGTGTGATATTTTAATTGTTAAATATTTACACTCTTTGGTCTTATCCTCATGTTAGAGTTCAATAATTCAATAAATACACATTTTTAGTGCTCAATTCCAAGTTCTGGAGATGACAAAAGTTGAATCATGTCCAAATCTGATGACTTTCGTGTAACATAGAGATTTGTAGCTTTCTAATAATAATTGGCAATTTTGTTTCATAGCTCTTAGATGGGTATTATTTTTGAAAAAATTATTTAATCCCATCTCTTCCACTGATCTATAACTTCTATATAGAGTACTGATCTCACCTTTTTATGTCTACGTAATGAAGAACAAGTACTGTGAGTTATATCTAGTAGGTGATATTTGATAACCATGTATTAAACAAATGATAAAAAATGAAAGCCAAAGAGGAAGATATTACTT